CAGTGGCGTAACGGACTTCCGCTGGGCCCCCCCGCAAAATTTTTTCTAGCCCCCTCCCCCCCATGTCGATAAAATTTCAAAATTATCCTCCCCTCCTGCCCCTCTCCCTCCCTCGCTCCTTCCCGTTTTTCCTCTTATGGTCGGGGCCCGCAGCACGAAAATTTCTGCAAAAATCAGCCTTAACCACCAAAAATATCAAAATAGCAGCAGCTTATATCTTTTTACCTGTAGGTATGGTATGTGCAGGATTTAGCCTATTTTTACGTTATGTCCTTAGGTTGAATTTGACTCATCCCTCACCGTCCCGGATCCCGTACCCGATTAAATGGGGCCACTAAAGGATCAACGATCTAAAGTGGGGCGGGGGCCCAGCCCAAGCTCAAGGATCTTCAGGGGGGAGGCCCAAGAATCAAAGGGCCCCCAAGGGCCTTGGGGCCATTAGGTTCTTGGGCCTCCCCCCTCCCGAAGCCCGAAATACGAGAAGGGACAAAAAGAGAGAAAATTATCTAGTAATCACTGAGTGGACATTGGAAAGCAGGGACCCTCCAGCAAACAAAAAGTTAGGAACAGTCCGAAAGAAGTATGAAAAACCTCGAGCTAACAATAAAAATCAGAGGAAGAAGCCCCATCTCTGTAAGTAGTGGCCAAAAGTTTGAAACCAAAGTTGAGCATCAAAAAGAGAGAGAGAAAAAAAAAACCCGGCGGCCGAGGGAGGGCCCCCTAGGCGCCTGGGCCCCCCTGCATAGCAGGGTCTGCGGGGGCGCCCGTTACGCCACTGCTAAAGTTGCTTCTCTACAAGTCAATGTTGAGGCCGGTTTGGAGTTATGGTTGCCAATTGTGGGGTTGTGCAGCCAAGTCAAATTTAGATAAGATCGAAGTCATTCAGATGAAGATTCTAAGAAGTATTGCTAAAGCTCGGTGGTACGAGAGGAATGCAGATATTCGCGCTGACCTCAATATTGACTCTGTAGAGAATTACATCACCAAGATGTACTCTGCGTATGAGATGAGACTACATCGTCACCCCAACCAAGAAGCGCTCGCGCTGTTGGAATGGGACCGATGTAATCGCAGGTTGAAAAGACGTAAGCCCTATGAGCTTGGAATTCAGGGCTTTTCAAAATTTTTCCCATAATACTAGTGTGCCTCCCCGTATCTTCGGATGGATCAGAGGTGCTTAGGTCTTCGGCCGGTGTCTGTCGACCGCAGTCTTCAATAAAACAAAGACAAAAACAAAGTTAAGACTAAAAGACATTTTTATTTTAGGAGTAATTATGTTTTTAGAGCTCCTCAATATTCAGAGGTAGTATGATATTTTTATGTTAAAACTTTGAAAATTTATAAGATAAAATGTTTATATATTATA